AAAAAAAAAAAAAAAAAGAAATATACCTTGAGGGTTGTAATAGTCCAAAGAAACACCAAGATTTAAGCTGGAAATACTGTTTTTAATAGAAAAAAAATTATAAATCACATACATTTCACAGGAACAGAAAAAAAAAATAGACAAATAAAAGGGACTGAGAAAGGCTGATTAAGCAATGCCTAACACTAATTTCTAATATAACTTGATTTCCTGAACTAGATTCTAAAATGCTATGATTGGCCGGGCGTGGTGGCACACGCTTGTAATCACAGCACTAAGGAGGCTGAGGCAGGAGAATTGTTGCAAGTTCGAGACCAGCCTGGGCTACCAAAGGGAGTTCAAGGCCAGCCTAAACTGCATAGTAAGAGCCTGTCTCAAAAAAGACAAATAAATAAATAAAAAAAAATAAAGTGCTATGATTGAGGTGGGCCCAGGCACTTGGGAGGATGAGTGGTGGGAGGACAGTAAGTTCAAGACCACCTTGGGCATCACAGCAAGATCCTGTCTCTAACACAAAGCAAAACAAAGAAAATAAAATATATAACAAAGAGAAAGCCTATTCTGAAAAATACTGTGTCAGCTTATCAATGAAGTAAGTGAATTCAGTTTTAGGATATAAAATAAAATATCTATAAATGCATTACTATCACTCAGCAACTGTACTCCAAGTAACAGTACTCCACAGGCCGCTGTGGAAACATGGGGTTCACATTAACCTCTGTCAATGATAAGACCAGTTATGCACAAAGTACAATAATTAAGTATGCCCCAGCATTGGATAAGGGTAGAAAGAGAGCCAAGCCATTTGGCACATGCCTATGGGCCCAGTTACTCAGGATGCTGAGGTGGAAAATCACTTGAGCCAAGAGTTTGAGGTTAGCCTAGGTCACATAACAGGACTCTGTCTCTTAAAAAATAAACTGTTTAAAAGTTAACAACATGAGCCAGGTGTGGTGGTGCACACCTGTAATCCCAGCACTCGGGAGGCTGAGGCAGGAGGATCCTTGAGAGTTCGAGGCCAGCCTCGGCTTCAAAGTGAGCTCAAAGTCAGCCTGAACTGCGCATAGTGAGACCCTGTCTCAAAAAGACCAAAAAAAAAAAGTTAACAACATGAGCAGATGCACACCTATAATTCCAGTTACTTAGGAAGCTGAGGCAGGAGGATCACAAGTTTAAACCCAGCCTGAGCAACTTAGCAACTCAGTGAAACCCTTGACTCAAAATGCAAAAAATAAAAAGGACTGGGCATGTAGCTCAGGGTGCTAGGTTCAACGCCTAGTACCACTCCCACACAAGAGAAGTTAGTATAAAGAGGCTGCTCAGCTGTGCAAAGCCACTTGAAACACAAAAAACACATTCTAATCATTTCCTTAAAGAACTATATCTTAAAATATTTTGCCTTACCAAAGCTGTGTTTAATGCCAGTGCCAAACTGTCCTTAACCCTGAAATGGCTTAAACTATTCACTGTCAATTGTACACATCATTAAAAAGCAAGGAGTATCTCTAACATATAGCCTGCTTACATGTCAGGAATAGGGTGGGTAACTCCTTGTAAAGGTATTTCAGACACATCCAGAACAGCAGAAGCTAATTT